GAAAAAATACATCAAAGAAGCAGAAATGTCTCAAACAACTTCAATTTCTACCTTCAAAAATTAGAAAAAGAAGAAAACTATATAATCACAGTGAGCAAGAAGGATAATAAGAAAGATAAGAAAGGAAACTGTGAAGAGCTTGCTTGCATTTGAAAAAATAAGGAATAATAATGAACATATATTTAGACTGAGAGAACAGACATGACATGAATTTCACTATAAGGAATCGGAGAGATGATGCCACTACTGATTATAAAGCTATCAAAGGGATAAACAACAGGTATCTCACCAAAGGGGAGCGACAAGTGGCAAGTAAAGTATGTAAAATAAATGCTCATCATAGTTAGCCATTTGAGATGCACAAATTCAAACTGCAGTGAATGAACTATCACTACACATCTATTAGAACAACTAATATTAAATATATAGAGATAATACCAAATGCTGACAAGGATGCAGAGAAACTGGATATCTCATACCTTGTTGGTAGAAATGAGATAATACCAAATGCTGGCAAGGATGCAGAGAAACTGGATATCTCATACCTTGTTGGTAGAAATGTCAAGTAGTAGAGTCACTTTGGCAAATAGTTTGTCAGTTTCTGAAAAATAAAAACAAACAAAAAACAAAAACTACACACACATTCGCTTACCATTCTACCTAGGTATTATACCAGAATTTAAAAATTATGTTTATACAAAAATTGCTCACAAATTTTCATAACAGTATTATTTGTAATAGAAAAATACTGTAAATAGTGCAGTTGTCTTTCAGTGTGTGAATGGTTGAACAGACTCTAATATACCCATAACAACAGAATATGATTTAGCAATACAGAGAAATGAACTATTAACAAATACATTATGTTAAGGTAAAAAGTCAATCTGAAAGTGCTACATGCTTCATAATTTATGTATTGTCCTCAAAATTACAAAATTGTAGAGATAGTAAACAGGTAAACAGATTATGGGTTGTTGGGGGACTGAGACAGGGTGGATGGGGTAGGGAGTGTGGATACAAAGAAGTAGAACAAAGAAGTTCTTTCACAGTGATGAAACAATCTATTTTGATTGTAGTAAGGGTTACAGAAACCTATACATGAGGTAAAATTGAACAGAACGACACACACACACACACACACACACACACACACACACAAATAAATTCAGGTGAAATGGTAGAAACCAAATAAGTTCTAGTTGAAATAATGTTCTGATTTTGATATTGTTCTATAGCTACAGAAGATGTTGCCATTGGGAAAAGCTGGGTAAAGTGTACACAGGACTCTAGTTTTGTAACTCCCTATAGCAGTCTGTATTTATTTCAAATAATAAAGTTTTAAAAGATAACACAGGAATAGTGTCAATAACTTCAAGGCAATACTTTGACAACTGAAATGAATAAGGTAAATTCCTTGAAAGACACTACCAAAGCTCACTTAGAAGAGATAGATGACCTAAGTCATCTTGGAAAATATCATTCAAGAAATTGATTTTGTGGTTAAAATCTGTACCTTGGCCAATTGGAATGTATGTTAAGAGCACAAGGTGAGGGTAGCAGTCAAATTGAATGAATGTAATTCATATTAACAAATAAGAAAAAATATATATTCTTATTATCAGTGGTGCATAAAAAGTATATAACAAAATCTGACATCTATTCCTTTTGAAAATCTTCAGCAAAGTAGCCATAGAAATAAAATTTTCTCAACCTGGTAGAGGGCATCTTCACAAAATCTACAGCTAATCTTATGCCTAATGTTGAGAGACTAAATTCTTTCTCACTAAGTTGCAAACAAGACAAAAATTTCCCTCACCACTTCTACTCAACGTCATACCGGATGTTCTAGTCAATGCAATAAGGCAAAATAAGAAATGGAAAAATAAAAAACATTCACACTAGAGGAAAAAAAATTTACATAATTTTATATGCAGAAAATCTGAAGAAACCTACAGTAAAATCACTAAAACTAACATAAGTTTAGCAAGATTGCAAGATGTAAGATTATTTTTTCTAAAATTTATTGTATTTCTAGCAATAAACATTTGAAATTAAAATTATGAAAACAATGCCACTTACAATAGTGCCAAAAATATGAAATACTTAGGGATAAATATGACAAAAGATATGTAACACTTGTAGATGTGCCATTTAAAAACCTTGCTGAAAGAAATTTTAAAAGACCTTAAATTTTAAAAGACCTAATTTGCTTCCTAGATCACTCACTGCCCACTTTCTTTAGGGAGCAAGTTTTACAGATTAAGTGACACATCATGGAAGCAAACTGGAAGGAGTATCCCAGGACTCAGAGAAGTATCAGACTTCTCTTTCTCTCTCTGATTCAGTCCTGCTGGGTGTCATAATTATGTCTCATCGCTGCGGTGCAACGGCTTCCATCTTGTCTCACTAAGGATTTACTTTTAAGCAGGAGTCTTAGATCTTCCCCCCTTAACATCAGCCTCCCCTCCGACTTTGGTTTCCACAACACCATTAGCATTCGCAATGCTTTACAATGGTACATTTTCCAAATCCAGCAGCATTTGACTCACTGCAGTTCTTTTGCTTAGTTGGGGTTCTCAAGAGATAGAAACATATGAGTCTCTGGTCAGGCAGTTCCATAGGTTCTTAATCCAGTGCCCATTTGGGTTGGTGTAGAGTCATTTGGATCACAGTCTCTTTTACAGGGAATTTAAAAGCAGAATTTCTGCACAGATGAGGTGGACAGGTAAAGATAAGTCACTGGAGTAAGTTCTACAGAGGAATTGGACTATCATGGTGGATTAAATTTGTTTCAGGTCTGGGATTTGTGATGCAACACATTATTAGATACTCGATGTTTTTAAAGCTTCCAAATTAAGATAATTAGAAATACAAATTAAAAGAGCTTAAATCATTAATCATGACCTCCCAGTGTGCACAACTGTATCTGGTAACTGGTAAACGGGGTTTTCACCAAGAAATAAGCAGATGTCAAGAAAAACCCAATCAGGGCCTTTGCTGTCCTTTCTCTTCGCCATAGGACTGCTGTGGGCCATTTTGAGAGCAGAGTCACTGCGTGCCTTATTCTTTGAGGGAAATGGTAATGGACTTGGCAAATGCTGCTTCTCCCATCACCATCAAGCTACAGCTAATGTAACCTTGCACCAGTACATCCTTGCTTTTTATAATTGATGTTTTATTATAAAAGAAAACATTAATATTCTAAATTTAAAAATATAGAAAAATAAAATGTATTAAAATATTAAGTGTTTCCATACTGCCATCCCATAGAGCAGCTTCTATTGATCCTTTGAGCATATTTCTTTCCAGTCATCTTCTATGTGTGTTTTACATTTTTTACCATAATGTAACCTTTGCATCTCTCTTGTCTTGTAGCTTTCTATTCCATCTTAACCATGTTCCCACTTTCTACCCAGTTTCAACTGGATTTATGGAAAAGCAAAGAATTCTAAGATATAGAATATTCAATAATTTACCAAACATGAAGCATTGAAGGTGGAGAGAAGGGCCTTCTGACTTACATTTAATTTTCCATGCTTTACTGGGAAAATGTATTTTTGGCAGTAATGGACAATGTATTAAAATCCGATATTTGGGACTTACGATTTCTTTGTGGTCCCATATTCTCAGGTATAGAGTGAACATAATGGAATCTATATGTTATAGAAGTCTTCTGATGATTTAGTGCTATGAAGCATAGTCTGGCTTCTGAACTTATTTTTTTTCTTTTCATCCTAGCTTTTTAAAGGTATAATTAACAAGTAAAAATTGAATACGCTTACTATGTACATGATGTTTTGACATATATATATCAAATCATAATCATATCACTATATATATATATATATATAGTGATATGATTACCACAACCAGTGAATTAACCTATTGGCTGACATATTTTTTCTTGTTTTGTGGTGAGAATATTTAAGATCTACATTCTTAACAAATTTCAAATAATCCATACTGTATTGTTAACTATATTCACCATGCTGTGCATTAAATCACTAGAATTTGTTCACCTTATAACTGAAAACTTGTACCTTCTGACCAACATCTCCCTATTTTTCTCCCCCCCTCCAGTATTTGGAAACCACCATTCTAATTCTATTCTCTGTTTCTGTGGATTCAACTTTTTTAGATTTCACATATAAATGAGTTCATATGGTATTTGTCATTCTCTGATTCATTTATTTTACTAAGCAAAATGCCCACAAGTCTGATCCATGTTGTTGTAAGTGGCAGCATTTTCTTCTTTTTGATGGATGCTTGGTTTGTTTCCAAATGTTGGCTAATGTGAATGATGCTGTGATAAACTTAGAGTGCATATATCTCTTTGACATACTCATTTCATTTTTTTGGATATATACCCAGAAGAGGGATTGCTGGGTAAGATGGTAGTTCTATTTTTGTTTTTTTGTGGAACCTCCATACTGTTTTCTAAAATGGCCACTCCAATTTAGTTTACTTTTTTTGGGGGGGGGGGTGTGAGTCCAGAACAGGACTTGGGGATCCCAATTCCTGCTTTCTAAAAAATGTTTATTTATTAAACTTTAAGTTCTGGGGTACATGTACAGATTATGCAGGTTTGTTACATAGGTATACAGGTGCCATGGTGGTGGTTTGCTGCATCCATTGCCCAGTCATCTACATTAGGTATTTCTCCTAAAGCTATCCCTCCCCAATCCCCCCACCCCCTGCTATTCCTGCCCTAGTCCCCCACCCCCCCTCAAGCTCCGATGTGTGATGTTCCCCTCCCTATGTCCATGTGTTCTCACTGTTCAGCACCCACTTATGAGTGAGAACATGTAGTGTTTGGTTCACAACAGCAAAGACTTGAAACCAACCCAAATGTCCGTCAATGATAGACTAGATAAAGAAAATGTGGCACATATACACCATGTAATACTATGCAGCCATAAAAAGGGATAAGTTCATGTCCTTTGCAGTTTCCTTCTCAGCAAACTGACACAAGAACTGAACTCATTTTCTTTTTCTCCTAGGCACACTGATTACCTCTCGCAGCATGCTTTGCAGTAATCAAGTGGTCATGTGATAGTTTTGGGCAGAATGTGAACAAAATAGGTGTGTGCTGCTTCCAGGACTGATTCATAGAAAATTCCCACATGGCAACTTCATTCTACTCTCTTGATGAACACAGTGACCTGGGAAGCTGTGTACTGAAGACAGCAGAGTTGGAAAATGGAAAGACAGTATATCCCTAAATGTTCTCTTGGTGGGGAGCCATCTTTTGATCAGAAATGCATTTTCTGGACTTTATGTTACCAACATAAACTTCTGTTACATTAATCCACTGATATTTTAGAGTTATATCAGTTAGCATTTACCTTAATTAGTATATAGTTTTATGGTTCTTGTAGTGAGTCCTCACCATATTACCATTTATTTCCTCTCTAGGCACATTATAGTATGGCTTTCTGACACTCTTGCTGATTATGGAAGCTCCCCAAACAAGACTACACTGGAAAAATAATACTTTGTAGTCAGGGATTACTGAAATCTTTAAAATATCTCTCTGTGGCTTTTCAAAATATTCTCTCTCTGAATTTCTGATTTCTGTGAGAGAAAACTGCCACCTTCAAGAGAGCAGTCTGTGCTCAAGTGAGAGTGCCACTTTGTAGTTTCCAGAAGCCACAACCTAGCAAGGCCCAGTTTTCCTAGTTGAGTGCTGAATTGCAACAATTTTTCAACAAGGAAGGGTCTGAGAGAAGATCCCATAATTTTCATGCTGCTATTAGGGCCAGATTCTTTTCCTAATTAAATTAATATCATAAAATAAGTAACAATCCTATCTCTTATCCTCCAAGGTGACCTGTGAAGTACTACCACAGAACACATTTTGAAAACTTAGGGCAGCTACTTAATTGCACTAACAGTAAGGATAAGAGGATATAGTTGGCCTCATATATGTCTTCTTTCATAAAGTATCTGTTCATATCCTTTGCCCACTTTTGAATGGGCTTGTTTGTTTTTTTCCTGTAAATCTGTTTGAGTTCTTTGTAAATTCTGGATATCAGCCCTTTGTCAGATGGGTAGACTGCAAAAATTTTTTCCCATTCTGTTGGTTGCCGATCCACTCTAGTGACTGTTTCTTTTGCTGTGCAGAAGCTGTGGAGTTTCATTAGGTCCCATTTGTCTATTTTGGCTTTTGTTGCCAATGCTTTTGGTGTTTTGTTCATGAAGTCCTTGCCTACTCCTATGTCCTGGATGGTTTTGCCTAGATTTCCTTCTAGGGTTTTTATGGTGCCGGGTCTTATGTTTAAGTCTTTAATTGTCACTGGTCATCAGAGAGATGCAAATCAAAACCACATTGAGATACCATCTCACGCCAGTTAGAATGGCGATCATTAAAAAATCTGGAGACAACAGATGCTGGAGAGGATGTGGAGAAAAAGGAACACTTTTACACTGTTGGTGGGAGTGTAAATTAGTTCAACCATTGTGGAAGACAGTGTGGCGATTCCTCAAGGCCTTAGAAATAGAAATTCCATTTGACCCAGCAATCCCATTACTGGGTATATATCCAAAAGACTATAAATCGTTCTACTATAAGGACACATGTACACGAATGTTCATTGCAGCACTGTTTACAATAGCAAAGACCTGGAATCAACCCAAATGCCCATTGATAATAGACTGGATTGGAAAAATGTGGCACATATACACCATGGAATATTATGCAGCAATCAGAAATGATGAGTTTGTGTCGTTTGTAGGGACATGGATGAATCTGGAAAACATCATCCTCAGCAAACTGACACAAGAACAGAAAATGAAACACCGCATATTCTCACTCATAGGTGGGTGATGAAAAATGAGAACACATGGACACAGAAAGGGGAGTACTAAACAGTGGAGTCTATTGGGGGGAAAAGGGGAGGGCCAGTGGGAGGGGGAGGTGGGGAGGGATAGTCTGGGGAGAAATGCCAAATGTGGGTGAAGGGGAGAAGAAAAGCAAAGCACACTGCCATGTGTGTACCTACGCAAATGTCTTGCATGCTCTGCTCATGTACCCCAAAACCTATAATCCAATAAAAAATTAAAAAAAAAAAAGAGGATATAGTTGCATAGACTACTGAATGGCCAGGTAATTACTAGAATCCAGGCCTCTAGCTTCTTACTCCAGTGCTCTTATCTTTTCTCTCCTCCAGGGCCTTTCTTTTATGTGTCCACCTCTTCTTCCATTTTTTCTCTTTTTATGTTTTTTCTTTCTTTTTATATAACTCAGAGGGCCAAGTAGTAAAAGAATAGGTCCATAAAAGTCATATTCAACAGTATTCACTGGTGAGAAATAATAGAGAATGAGAGTTTACGGGATGTCCCATGGCTTGAAATGAAAACCAGCTAACCAACCAACAACCTTTTTGACATGTAAAGCCTCAAGATGAGACACAGAAAAATAGGAATCATAACCCTTTCTGCAAGGGCACTGTTCTATATCATCTTTTTATTTTTCAGTGCTCTTAAAAAGAACTGCTGTCATTTGTTTATTCAAGAGACTAGACTATATTTAGCAATTTAATTCCTACTATTTCTCCTTATTGCTATGAGTTATCTAAAGTCAGTGTCTCTATAGGTAGTACCTCTTTCTGCTCAGCATGTTAAAATCAATAAATGTTGCTGATTCACTAACAGGTTGACCAGTAACAGCAAAACAAGGAAATTAGTAGCTGTGGGCAAGCATCTCAAAGACAGTAATTTAGTCTCCATTTCACAAGCTGCTCACAGGCAGATATGCAAATAAAAGATGACTTAGAATATATAGACCAGAAAAGTCTCAGTTTACTAGTTTTACAAACAAGTTCATATACACATCACATGTTCACATTCACTTCTCTCACAGTGACTCAAATGTCAAATCATAAAACTATAAAAATACTCAAATTCAACAGCCTTATCTCCACGAAACCTTCTACATCCTTGCCTCTCCCATACATAATCACATAACATTTTACCATTTGGATGGGGAGCAGATATGAGAAATCAGCACATTCTTTGGTTTTGGTTTTATATTTTTGTTTACACCTCTCCCTCCCATTCCCCTTTCCTGTCTCCATTGTGTAGCACTAAATATAATTAGGGGACAGAAAACATGAAGAGATTTCCAGTTTGAAGAAAATGCCAATTTTGGGATCAGGGCAGAAATACAAAGATCTCTTTAAATTAAGCGAAGAAAAACATTTATATTTAATTATATAAAATATATAATTATATTATAAAACATTTACATATAATTTTATATTATTTAAAAATATAAATTCATAATTTTATAACATAAAAATTATATATGTATATAAATCTCTTTGAAATGTTTGCCTACAGCTACTTATTTTCTGTTTATATATATATATTTTTTCAATACATATTAAATATATATATATCCTTCATTTGATTTAAATATATAATGTGTATGTGTATATAAATATATTTCCTTCACTTGATTTGAAGTGGTACTTCTATTTCTTCACTAATTGTCCTGATCCCAACATTCATATTTTCTCCATGTTAAAAATCTCTGCATGCTGTGTGTGTGTGTGTGTGTGTGTGTGTGTGTGTGTGTGTAAAACCTCAGGGAGGCTTCCTCAGTGACTGATTTCTGATCAAAACAAAATCTCTTCCAGAAGATCTTGCATATGCATCTAGAATCTCCCAAAGGAGCGAAATGATGTTGGTAAAATCGTTTCAACTCACTCCTTTTTTGAAATTTTTTTTTGGAAAAAAATTGAAAATGTAAACATAACTGAAGTTTACTTAAGAAGAAACTGATTTATAAGGCATCAAAGGACTAATTATATGGAAATGTTGCTGCTAATTACTGATGAGCCTCATCCACTCCATTAAACATCCCTCTAGGAGTATAAGAAGCACTATGTGAGCATTTTCAACTTCTAAGTTTAAAAATAAAATTGCAATCCTTTGAAACCGTCTGACTTAAAATATGGCACTTCAAATGCATCCTCTCCAGGTAGGTCAATGAGAATAGGTTAATTATTCATGGTTGAAGGAGTTATAGAAGTATTGCTTATCAGTATGGAAAGGAAAATAGATTTAAAAACACTATTTAAGATACAGCACCAAGTCCTACACAATCTGGTCCCTGTCTATACTGCAAACCTTACATCAGCCATTTCTAACTTTACTCACTGCTTTTCAACTAAGCAAGCTCCCTCTTCTGCCTCTCCAATGCATCATTCTCATTCCATTCTCAGTGTATTTATGCAAATAACGCCTTTTGCTTGAAATGTTCTTCCTATCCTTTACCAAGTTAATGGTAATCATCCTTCATATGTCAATTCAAACATCTCTTTCAAACAGAAGACTCACATTATTCCAGAGTAGTCAAGTCCTGAAGATTAACTTGCACTACACGTGGATGGTCCTTAGTACTCCCACGCTTCAACCCTTCTCAATTAATTACATTACCGTATTTTACATTCTCAATAGAAATGTATGAGTTCTGTTTTCTCCACATCCTCACTATATTTCTTGTTCTCTGAATTTCTGATTTTAGCCACCCTGGTAGTTGTGAGGTGATATTTCATTGTGGCTTTGATCATTGTCCTGATGGCTAATGACATAGAGTACCTCTTCATGTATTTATCAGTCATTTGTATATCTTCTTTGGAAAAATATCCATTCAGATCCTTTGACCATTTAAAAAACAGAGTTGTCTATTTATTATAGAGTTCTAAGGGGTCTTTATTCTAGATACATGTTCCTTAGATGTATAATTTGCAAATATTTTCTCTGTCCTTTTAAACACAAGTGTTTTAATTTCACTGAAGTAAAAATTTTATTTTATTCTATTTTTCTTTTATTGTTCATGCTCTTTGGTCTGAACACCCTTGTCAAAAAACAGTTGTTCATAAATATATGTGGGCTTATTTCTGCACTCTCAATTCTATTGCATTCATCTATCCTTGCGCTATACACCTTGTTTTGATTACTGATACTTTGCAGTAAGTTTTGAGAAGCGTAGCTTCTCCTGCCTTGATATTCTCTTTCAAAATAGTTTAAGCTATTCTGGGTCCCTTAAAATTATAGATAAATGTTCTTGTCAACTTGACAACTTCTACAGAAAAGTCAACTAGGTTTCTGATGAAGATTGTATTAAATCTATAGGTCACTTGGGCAATACTGGTGTTTTAACATTGCCAATTCTTCCAGTCCATGAATGTGAACTGATTTTCCATTTATTTAGATTTTCTCCAATATCTTTCCACAGAATTTTGTAGTTTTTGGAATACAAATTTTGTTCTTTTTTTGTTAAATTTATTCCTAAGAATTTTACACTTTTTGATGCTATTGTGAACATAATTGTTATCTTAATTTGAGTTTTAAGTTGTTTATTGAATGTGTATGTAAATACAATTCAAAAACTTTCTGATGCTTTATTTTTTATTGTACTTATTTGTGTTTTTGACTCTTAAGAAAGTATTTCCTGCAGACACTGTATAGTTGGGTCATATTTGTTTAATGAAGTCTTACAATCTCTACCTTATGATAGGATTATTTAATTCATTCACATTTAATATTATTGATGTATTTTGATATATATCTATCACTTTCCTTTTGTTTTCTATAGGTCTTACATCTTTCTAATTGCTCTATTTCTTCTTTACTACTTTAGTTTTCACTGAGCGACTGTTTTACAATGTAGCATTTTTAGTTTGATGCTCTAGAATTTAACATATATTTCTTAATTTGTCAGAATGAGATTCATATTTATACTAGCACAATTAAAACAATTTAGAGATATTACTCTTTATATTGATCTAATCCCTCTCCTACTTTTGTGTTATTATTCCTATATATATGTAATCAATGTTACAACCTTAACAAAGTATTTTTATAATGATTACTTTGTCATAGGCCACAAGTTTTTTAGTCCATTACACTTTTGCTCCCACTCACCTCTTTTGGCAAATATATTACATATCTATATGTTACAGACCCTACATGATATAAATATCATTTTAAACATTTGTCTTTAAGTTGATTAAGAGAAAAAAACTGCCTTAAAATATCTTTTATAATTTTACTCTTACCTTTACTCGTGCTCTTGTTTCTAAAGATTTAAGTTACTGTCCGGGATCACTTGCTTTATCCTGAAAACTTCTTTTAGTATTTCTTTTAAAGCAAGTCTGCTAACAATACACTCACTCCATTTCCGTTCATCTGGGAAAGTATTTTGCCTTCATCTCTGAATGATACCTTTGCTGGATATAAAATTCTTAACTGATAATTTTGTCTCTAATACTTTGAATGTGTTACTCTACTGCCTTCTGATATCCATTGTTTCTTCTAAGAAGTCAGCTGTTAATCTTATTGGGACACGTACAGATGATACATTATTTTCCTCACCAGTTTTAAGAGTTTTCTTGTTTTTTAACTTTTATAAATTTTTCTATGATGTGTCTGGTATTGGGTCTTTTTATATTCATCATACTTAGAGTTCATTGAGTTTCCAGGATATATAGGTGATTGTTTCTTTAAAACTTAAGAAACTTTCATTCATATTTCTCAAAATATTTTATTTCTTTTTTGCTCTCCTCTTCCAATAATTCCATTACCTGTATGTTGGTGTGGTTAATGGTGTCCTACAATTCTCTAATTAAACTGAAGAGATGCTGCAAAACAAAAGAAACTATCACTAGCATGAACGGCAACCTACAGAATGAGAAAAATTTTTTGCAATCTACCCATCTGACAAAGGGCTAATATCCATAATCTACAAAAAAAATAAAGCAAATTTACAAGAAAAAACAAACAACCCCATCATAAAATGGGTGAAGGATATGAACAGACACTTCTTAAAAGAAGACATTAATGCAGGCAACAAACATATGAAAAAAAGCTCATC